AGGTTTTGGGGATTTAGGCCGGGTTTCGGGGTTTTGGGCCGGGTTTTGGGGATTTAGGCCGGGTTTCGGGGTTTTGGGCCGGGTTTTGGGGATTTGTGCCGGGTTTCGGGCCGGGTTTCGGGGTTTCGGGCCGGGTTTCGGGGTTTCGGGCCGGGTTTTGGGGATTTAGGCCGGGTTTTGGGGTTTTGGGCCGGGTTTTGGGGTTTTGGGCCAGGATTTGGGGATTTGGGCTGGGTTTTGGGGTTTTGGGCCGGGTTTCGGGCCGGGTTTTGGGGATTTAGGCCGGGTTTCGGGGTTTCGGGCCAGGTTTTGGGGATTTGTGCCGGGATTCGGGCCGGGTTTTGGGGATTTGTGCCGGGTTTCGGGCCGGGTTTTGGGGATCTAGGCCGGGTTTTGGGGATCTAGGCCGGGTTTCGGGGTTTCGGGCCGGGTTTCGGGGATCGGGGCGCCGCCCACCCTTGAGCGCCACGCCGTTGCGCCGGATGGCCGTGATCGCGTTCTGCACGTCCTCCTCGGGCGCCTCCGAGCTCACCCGAACCTCCTCGAAATCCACGGGGACGCAGGCGTGCCTGAGGCACGGACGGCACCGAAACGGGACAAAACGGCACCAAAATGGGCCAAAAAGGGACAAAACGGCACCAAAACGGCACCAAAATGGGCCAAAACGGTACAAAATGGCACCAAAACGCTACAAAATGGCACCAAAATGGGCCAAAATGGTACAAAATGGCACCAAAAGGTATAAAATGGCACCAAAATTGGCCAAAACGGTACAAAATGGCACCAAAATGGGCCAAAATGGGCCAAAATGGCACCAAAAGGTACAAAATGGCACCAAACGGCACCAAATTCCCAATTTTGCTGACTCATTTACATATTTCAAGGGCCGATTACAATTTTTCTTTGTCTCATTTGCATTTTTTGGGATTGATTCCTCCACTTTGGGGTTGATTCTCCAATTCCTGGGATTAATATCAATTTAATTCCCATTTTTGTGGATTCATTTCCACTTTTGAGCTTTTACGTTGAACTCCACTGATTAATGCTGACGTTTTACCCCTTAATTACATTTCTTTCTCTCATTTGCATATTTTAGGATCGATTCCTTCACTTTGGGCTCCATTCCCCAATTCCCGGGGCTCCATCCCCACGCTTGATTCCCATTTTTGTGACCCCATTTCAATTTCGGGTGTTTAATTCCCAACTCCACCGCTTCATTTCCATACTTAACGAACTAATTACAAACCCTCCCACCTAATTTGCATATTTTACAGTCAACTCCTCCATTTCAAGCCCCGATTCCCCAATTCCTGGGGCTCCATCCCCACATTTAACTCCCAATTTTGGGCTCCATCCCATATTTCGGGTGTTAATTCCCAACTCCACCACCTCATTTCCATACTTAACGAACCAATTACACTTTCCTTGCCTCATTTGCATATTTTAGGATCAATTCCTCCCTTTTAGACTCAATTCCCGGGGCTCCATCCCCGCATTTAACTCCCATTTTTGTGACTCCATCCCAATTTCGGCCGTTAACTCCCAACTCCACCGCCTCATTTGCATACTTGACGAACTAATTAGGCCCCTCCCGCCTCATTTGCATGCGGGGCCTCACCGGAACACCTCCTTGACGTGCAGCATCAGCTCGGGCCCGATGCCGTCGCCGGGGATCAGCGTCACCGTGTGCCGCCCGCCGTACTTGGCGGGGGGGGGCTGGGGGGGCACCCGAATTTTGGGGGGTCCCGACCCCCCCCGCCCCTCCCCCTTCCTCCCCCTTCCCCATCTCCCCAATCCTGATGGGTTTTGGGACCCCCCCAGGTCATTTTTGGGAACCCCCTCAACTCTTTTTTGGGGTCCCCATTTCTTTTTGGGACCCCCGAGTGATTTTTGGGACTCCCCAGGAAATTTTGGGACCCCCCAGTTGATTTTTGGGACCCCCCCCAGGTCATTTTTGGGAAACCCCCAGGTCATTTTTGGGACCCCCCCCAGGGTGATTTTTGGGACCCCCCCCAGGTCATTTTTGGGGTCCCCATTTCTATTTGGGACCCCCTGGTGATTTTTGGGACTCCCCAGGAAACTTTGGGAAACCCCCCGGTGATTTTTGGGACCCCCCCAGTGATTTTTAGGGACCCCTAGTGATTTTTGGGACCCCCCCAGGTCATTTTTGGGACCCCCCCAATGCTTTTTTGGGGTCCCCATTTCTATTTGGGACCCCCCAGTGATTTTTGGGACTCCCCAGGGAATTTCGGGACTCCCCAGGGAATTTTGGGAACCCCCCTGGTGATTTTGGGAGCCCACCCAGTGATTTGGGGTCCCCCCAGTGATTTTTGGGGTCCCCCAGTGATTTTTGGGACCCCCAAGAAAATTTTTGGGCCCCCCCCCAAGGGTTTTTTGGGGCCCCCCAGAACTTTTTTAGGGTCCCCACAGGGAATTTTGGGGACCCCCCCCCTCATTTTGGGACTTCTCGGTGATTTTAAATCCCCCCAAGGGATTTTTGGGGCCCCCCAGGAATTTTTTGGGCCTCCCAAATTCTGCTTTTCCCCCTCCCCATTATTTTTGGGACCCCCCCAGGAGATTTTGGGGCCCCCCCGGGGATTTTTGGGGTACTCACAATGCTGCGTTGCTGTGGGGGGGAGAAAATGGAAAAATTCGTGACCAAAATAGGGACACCCCCCCCAAAAAAAAATTGGGGGGGGGTGGGATTTTTTTGGGGGGGTGGGATTTTTTGAGGGGTGGGTTGGAATTTTTTGGGGGGTTGGAATTTTTTGGGGGGGTGGGATTTTTTGGGGAGGTGGGATTTTTTGGGGGGGGCGTGGCACTCACGGGGGGGAGGTGGAGCCTTTCAGCCGCGTGGGAAATCCCGGCCTGAGGCAGCCACACCTGCAAGGGAGGGGTCCCGAAATTGGGGGACCCCAAAAAGACCCAAAACCCCCCAAAAGGGGTTCAGAGCCCCCTCCCCAAAACAGCACCAGAGACCCCCCCCCCCGCCCCACAATGGTTCAGGACCGCTCCAGAAACGCCTCGTTAATTAAAAGAATGCTAATTAAACTTCGCATGGAGGAGATTTGGGAGGTCCCGGGGATTTTCCTGAGGGAATTCCCAGCCCAGGACCCCCCGAAACCCCCCCAGAGCCCCCCAAAACCCCCCCCCGGGACCCCCTTTGGCCACGCCCGTCCCCCCCTTTCACCACCCCGCAATGGTTCAGTCCCAAGCACCGCCCCTCCCAGAAATACCAGCCAATCACAGCGCGGAGCGCTGCTCCTCCCACCCGCCCTGCGAGTTCCAGCCAATCAGCACTCGCGAAGCAGCGCCACACCCCCAGGGTAACCAATCAGAATCCGGTCCGCGCTTCCAGGTCCCGCCCCTCCTGGCGGCCGCCCGGCCCTGCCGGCGCTCCAGCCAATCAGAAGCCGCCGGTGCGGCGGGAACCGGCGGGAACCGGCGGGAACGGGCGGGAACCGGCGGGGGCGGGGCCCGGAGGACGGCGGATCGGGTTCTGATTGGTCACTCACCGCGCGCGGCCGTAGCGCGGCCCGCATCACCCTCCGTTGCACGGCCGTCAACGCCGCCGCCATGATGCTCCTCCGGGCGGCACGAGCTCTCGCGAGATCTCGGCGCCGCCCACGCCAGGAGATAGGGCGATAAGCTCGAAATCCCGCGAGAGTTCCCGCCCCGCCCGCTCTCACACCCTCACACCGCGGCGGCCATTTTGTGCCTGGGAGCGGCGTTGGGTGACGCCTCACGGCGGGAAAGGCGGAGAGTCCCGGAACGGCGGCACCGAGCGCGGAGCCCTGTCCTGATCCGCGCTTCCGTTTGAGGTCGAAAGAACCAAACGCCCACTGACAACGGGCGGGGACGGCCGCGGCCGCCGCCCCTCCGCCGTCGCTATGGCGACGCCGAGACCGCGCATGCGCTGGGGCGTGGCCGCAGCCCCGCCTTCCTCACCACAGGCGGGCTGGCCGCCATTTTACTCACACGTGCGTCGCATTGCGCATGCGCATCTTATGACCACACCCCCGCCTTGTCTTAGCCACGCCTCCGCTCCCTCTTAGCCCCGCCCCCGCCTCCGCCGCGAGCCACGTCGCGCGCGGGCCGGGCGGTGCGCTCGCTCCTCATTGGTCAGAGGGAGCGCGTGTGCCCGCCCGCCGCATTCTGATTGGTGAGCTCGCAGGCGCTGCCGGCGGTGATTGGCTGCTTCTCCCGGGGGCGGGGCCGGCGGTCGGGGCGCGCGGGCGGTCATGGCGGGCGCCGGGGCGCTCCCGCTGCTGCTGCTGCTGCTGGCGGCGGCCGGGGCCGCGGGTAGGGGCAAAAACCGCCGCGCCCTGAGGGGGAGCGGGAGCTTGTGAGGGGAACCCGGCCGTGCTCAGGGCTCTGACGGGTCCTGGGGGCTGTGAGCGCCCAGCGGGTCCCGCCGCGTTCGGGTCCTGCGGGGCTGTGAGGGGATGGAGGGGAGAGGGGGTGCCGTGAGGGGAAGGAGCGGGGGTTTCGTGAGGGGATATCGGGGGTGCCGTGAGGGGAAGGAGCGGGGGATTCGTGAGGGGACCGGGAATTCCATGAGGGGAAGGATCGGCAGTTCCATGAGGGGAAGGATTGGGGGTCCCATGAGGGAAAGGTTTGGGGGTCCCATGAGGGGACTGGGGATTCCATGAGGGGATTCCACAAGGGGAAGGACTGGGGGTCCCATGAGGAGAAGTATTGGGGGTCCCGTGAGGAAACCGGGGGTCCCATGAGGGGATCGGGAATTCCATGAGGGGAAGGATTGGGGGTCCCATGAGAGGATTGGGGTCCCATGAGGGAACCGGGAATTCTATGGGGAAAAGGATCGGGGGTCCCATGAGGGGAAGGATTGGGGGTTCCATGAGGAGAAGGATTGGGGGTTCCATGAGGAGAAGAATTGGGGGTCCCATGGGGGGAAGAATCGGGGGTCCCATGAGAGGATTGGGGTCCCATGGCGGGAAGGATCGGGGGTCCCATGAGGGGAAGGATTGGAGGTCCCATGAGAGGATTGGGGTCCCATGAGGGGGTCCCTGAGGGTCCTGGAGCTCTGGGCTGCCTTTGGGGGTCCCCCAGAATGGAGGTCCCGGGCCCTTGGGGGGGTCTCTTGGTGCATTTGGGGAGGGGCTTGGGCAGCTCGGGTGAGCCTGGCTCCCACGGGGGGGCTCAAGCGAGTGGGGGTCCCTGGGGTGCTCTGGGACAGCTTTAGGGGGGTGT